ACACTTCAACTGAGGCATGGAGCACCCATAGCTAACATTCAATCAGAATCAGCACACAAACACACACACACACTTCAACTGAGGCATGGAGCACCCATAGCTAACATAATTCAATCAGAATCAAGAGATGCCTCTTACAAACATGGTATGCTTCCATCTTAGGAAGCTTGAGTCAACTTATTTTCTAAAGTACTTTTTTGATTATTGAAATCCTAATGGAAAAAACATTGTAGCAGCCATTTTAAAATGTGTGAATTATATAAACTATGTTTTGCTTCCATTACTAAAAAGCAATTAATGGATCTTGGCTTTTATTCCTGTTCTTCATCATGATGCATGTTAGATATTCTGTGGAACTGAAAACAAGTGATCGCTTAAGCCCAAATGTTTGTGAGCATAAACTGTGTCTTTCTTCAAAAGGTATGTGGTACTATATTCCCGTAGACCAGGCATCTCCATGACATTGTTACTGTTTCCCAGTCTTGCTTTCTTAAAGATTTGTTGGGGGTTGTGTTTTGTTTGGAAACTTTGCAATTAGAAGAAGAAAAAATAAGAATTAAGAACCAGTATTTAATTCAACCTGGATATTTTAAAAAGCAATTTAGAGGATGTGATGGACTGTTTCTTTATTCATTAAATAAATTTTATTTATTCTCAGTTAATTGTTGGGTTTGTTTTGCTCTGTATCTTGGTTCCAGACTATGTATGTGAGATAGGTAAATTCTTGTTTTCAGTGGTTTTCTTTCAGCTCAGGTATTTTTTGGATACACTGCCAGTTTAAAATAGCAATCTTAAAGACCTATGTTACTTTAATAAAACAATTGTTAGAGCTTGTACACACTTGTATTCATGACGAGAGAGCAGAATGGGTTATACCCATGTATGAAGACAGGTCATATATTTATGGTGTTTTTTTTTAAGATTTTATTTATTTATTTGACAGAGAGAGAGACACAGCGAGAGAGGGAACACAAGCAGGGGGAGTGAGAGAGGGAAAGCAGGCTTCCCGCGGAGCAGGGAGCCCGAAGCGGGGCTCGATCCCAGCACCCTGGGATCATGACTGAGCTGAAGGCAGATACTTAACGACTGAGCCACCCAGGCACCCTATTTATGGTTTTATACGCACTTTGAAATTGTTTTCATCCATAGGTAGCAAAAAGAGGTAGCTTTAGTGATGCCTAAGCAGAGAGCAGAGGTGAGCCAAATTCAGTCCAAAAACAGCACTATGCTTTTACTATAAGATGGCAAAATTTAAGTAACTGAGCCTCAGTTGTTGAATCCTACACTTCTATTAACCACAACACAAATACATTCTATCTGGTTCATATCTAACAAATTTTAGATCTTCATTACTATAAAGGCCACCTCATTAACTAAGAAACTGGCTGTATTGGATGTTAAAAAAGATAGCCCAATCCTCTTCACATCTGCAAATACCAAAAGTTGGAAGTCAATATAATCACTTTTTTGTAATGAGGTTAATGATGTTATAGTACATATTGTTCAGTTAAGTGGTTTTTAACACTGACATCCTACTAGAATCACCTGGGGAAATTTTTAAACTATGTCCAAGCCTCATCTTGGAGCAGTTAAATTAATTCTTGAGCTGAGGGCTCCAGACCTGGTATTTTTTTACAAGACTCCTAATGATCCTAGTGACTCTAATGAGCAGACAGGGTTGAGAACCACTGGCTTGAATGGTCTTTCGCATCTTGATAGCCCTGTTCATTTGTATATGGTTTTCAAGACTTCTGACCCTGGGGTTTGGGTATTCAGCCTCCGGCTAGCACCTAGGAAGAGCTCAGATATAATAACTAGTCAAACTGAAAACCTGCCCAGGGGAGTCTTCTTTTATCATTTAATGTCCCCTCTTAAGAGTTCTTATGGCATAGGTTACTGGTACTACACTGTTGAAGCATTCAGCTATGCTTTGTTTAGGACTGCTTATTGATTAGTACATGTGTGTTCTTCTTGGCTGCATACCCAAGGACAGGGGTGCTGTTAAGCAAGCCTGTGTGTGGGTAGCTGCTTGATAATATTTGTTGATTTTTTTAAAGATTTTATTTATTTATTTGAAAGAGAGAACACACGCAGGGGGAGCAGGAGAAGCAGGCTCCCCGCTGAGCAGGGAGCCCAACGCGGGGCTCAATCCCAGGACCCTGGGATCATGACCTGAGCCGAAGGCAGACACCCAACTGACTGAGCCACCCAGGCGCCCCTGTTGATTTTTTTAAAAAGGGAGCCCAGGTAAAAGAATATTTTTGAATTTCAATATGCCCTGCTGTCAAACTAGAAAGGACACAGATTTTTCAAATGTGGACAGTATAGAGTACTGTAGAGTTGCAACTCTTTAGTTTTTGGTATATGTATGATAATACATGAATCTTAACTTCAAAAAGATTTTGCACCTATGCTATCCAAGCTCTTAATCCATAAAACATAATGGATTTCCCACTGTACAGTTTTTGGAGTTTTATCAAAGACTGGATTTTTTTAAAAGATTGTATTTATTTATTTGACAGAGAGAGACACAGCGAGAGAGGGAACACAAGCAGGGGGAGTGCGGGAGGGAGAAGCAGGCTTCCCGCCGAGCAGGGAGCCGGATGCGGGGCTCCATCCCAGGACCCTGGGGTCATGACCTGAGCCGAAGGCAGACGCTTACCTGAGCCACCCAGGCACCCTTATCAAAGACTGGATTTGATCACTGAGACCCATTTACTTTTCCCTCAAATGTCTTCCAGGAAAACATAGTACATCAAGTGGGATGGATAGCTTAGGGATTTGGTAAGAGCTAAATTGCTTCCAGAGATTTCAAAAACACAGGACAGGCAGCTATAGGCAAAATATTTAAAGGACAGATTCCCATTCTTTTTGGAGAATGGAGATGGGGAAGAAGAGACACAGGATGAGGATCCTATCTTTTTAATTAAATTGTTCGATTTCACTAAGAAACTACTGTTAATCAAAAAAGACATATTTATTGAGTTTATTCTACCTATCCCTCTATACTAAAAGCCATAGAGATAAAAATGAAAAGCACAGTTCTCTTTTACAAGGTATTTACAGTCTAGAGAGTGGGATATGAACCCTACTGGGAAAAGGAGTCCATCTTAATACATTTTTGAGAATTGTCCTAATTAATACATTTTTAGTACTGATTTTATTCATTCTCAAACTCTACAAATTTACTGGGATTATTAATGAAGCTTTATGAGTCTAAACTACTGTGCCCAAATAGTAAGAAAGGCAGATGCCCAGAGCCTTGCCGTTAGTTCAAGTACACACTGCAGTGTGGAGTGTGGCCAGAAAGAGAACCTGGCATCGTCTCTTCCAGAGCTGTGTAGTTTAAACTATAGTGTCTTCTAAGAGCCTAAACATTTTACCCTCTAATTTGCAGTGAGGAAGCAAAGCCCTGAGCCCTCCTCAGCTTCTTATTAATGGATATCAGAAGGGAAGGGAAATTCAGCATTGGTTTCTCAAAGTTTTCTAGAGATACACTTGCGATTTTGTAAGTTTAAGTTTATGCCCTGGGGAAGACACTTTCATTCCTTACAAACCAAATGGATTTTGATAATTAGGGATAACTAAGAAAGTAAAATTTCTACGGAGACTTTCTATAGAAATAAATATAAATTGCCAATAGGTGGCTGCCTCTGATGTTAGGCGTTGGAATCCGTAAGTTTGGGGAATGTCACTATTGTTTCTGTTGACTAGTGAAAAATGTCAAATGCACACACAACTCAGAGTCTTGTTTTTTCTAGTTATTATTTCTAATTACTATTTCTAATAATGCACGCAGAGCTGTTGACCACCAAGTCACTCTTTACATTAAAGGTTTGGTTTATTCATCCAATGGTTAAGCAAATTTATAAAAATAATTCAAACCAATACCATGCATACTATTTTGCTCTAATCTTGATTAGTCTTGATGGTGGTGATGCCCTTTTTGCTAGCTTGTATTGATTAAAAGGAAATCACTTACAAAAGCAACATTTTTTAAGTTCTCAGTGCTAGTTACATTTATATATATTAACATATATATATTCCTATATAGGAATAAATATATTTATTTGGGTACTTGTAAGGAATTAGTAGTAATTGGCTTAAATAAAATATTGAGGAATTGTATATCTAGTTACTTAAAAGCTAAATGTTATTTCAACTACTTTAACCTTTAAAAAAAACATGAAAAATGTATCTATATTTCCAAGTTCACAGAGAAAGCTTTCAAATTAATTATTTGTATTCTCATCAGCTTGTCTTTTTTTTTTAAACGAAGTATTACAAAAGGGCACATTTGCCAATCAGTGCAATTAGATTTCAACGTTCCATATCTTCACTCAGAGAAGCACTCAAATCATCGTCCCCAAAGAGGCCTTTATTGCCATCACGAAACTAGCAGGGCACTTGGCATGAAGAACAAACCCACATTTTTATTTATATATTACAAAATCTATATTTTATAATGTATACATTTAAAAATACAGAGCACTCACGCCCTGTACTCTAGCAAAAAAAAACTATGACTACTTCATGCATACACACACAATGCACTAAGCATAAATGCATTTACACGACGGGTAGGTAGCTGTTTTAAGCATACACAAGTAATGGATATTGTCAACTTCACCCGAACAAGTCAAACTTACAAAGTTTAAGAAAGTTATTATCTCTCTGAGGACTAAAACTGCAGTATAGCCTAATCCTATTTTTTTCTTAAGATTGTTTTCCCTCAAAGTCGTCCCAAAAAAGGGGGAAGGGGCATTATTTTCACAGCAATCAAAACCATTCACAAGATCCATTAATGTAATCTACAAAATACCGATAAGGAGGAAGAGAAAGGCAATAAAATCGTGTCCGTAAGACCGGTGACGCGAATAAAAGTAACCTGAAAGTTTGCTATTTTATTCTAAGACTGCATCCTTGGCCACCTACTGGGGAAAGGGCCACGGCTCCGGAGCTCGATTACTGGGCATCTCCCCCTGGCAGGGCCGCGCGCCCTAAATGGCCATCTGAAAGGGCTCTGGCTGGAAGCCGAAGAGCCTCTGGCCGTAGGGCTCGCTCTCACCCGGTAGCTTCGCGCCCGCAAACGGAAGGTAGTGGTCGCGGCCAAAGTGCTCACAGTGGAGACTGACCCAGTCCCGCTCCGAGCCGAATCGCTCGGCCTCGGCCAGGATACGGGTCAGCGCCATGATGTAGCTCAGTGCCATCTGCAGGGTCTCATACTTGGACAGCTTTTTATCCTGGCCCCACTGGGGCACCACCCTGCGCAGGCGATCGAACGCCGTGTTGAGACCCTGCATGCGACGGCGCTCGCGTGCGTTGGCCGCCAAGCGCCTGCGCGCCGCGCTCTCCAGCCTTCCAGCCCCGGCGCACGCACCCGCGCACTCGGCGCCGCCTGCGCACGGGGCCGCGGCGCGCGCTGCCGCCGCCGCGTTGCTGGGCTTGCAGGACTTCATCCCCCGCCGGAAGGAGGGAGGCGCTGAGCTCACTCGCCCGCTTAGGCACCTGCGCGCGAGCCGGTCTATCGAGCCGCTCCCCAACGTGGCTCTTCTGAGCGAGTAAGTCATACACAAAGCAACTCGTGTGGAATCAGAGTTTACAGTGGGGAGTAGGGGACCCCGCCTTCCGTCCTACTGGATAACCAGATTGATGTCTCTTCACTGGCTCAAATTTAGGGGAAACTGAGGTGCTGAAGAGAAAGTCATTTTCCCAACGTGAGGTTGGAAAAGAGAAGGGAACCTTCTTGCTGCAGAATTTGGTGTGGCTGGTTTGGGGAAGGTCTTTCAAGTCCTCTGGGAAAGCCCGAGACTTCTTTTTCAGGAAGACGAGATCTTTCCAGATGCTCAGATAGAGAAGGAGCGCTTTTTCCGCAGTAGCTGTCGGAGAGTGCTGGATGAATCTTTGAAGGAGGAGAATTTATAGCAGAGGGCTGAGGGAGGGAACAGGTGGTGGCAGGTGGGCGGGCGTCCCTCGGCTTCCATCTCAGCACCTTCCTACCCTGGGAACTGCAGGCGGGGGGAAGGGGAACGACGCACAGCAAAATCCTGACATTACAGCCTTCGTCTGTTGAAGTTTCTCCAAAGCTATGTCCAACAGTAACACACCATCTGGAGTGGCCTGGCTGTCCCCAAAAGAATAACAGGGTGGGGGGTGGGGAAAGAGCTTGGTCCATCTTTTCCCGTATCAACGGGCAGCTTACATATCAAAAACTTAACCAAAGTTTTACAGTTATTAGAAATTATTTGTGTGAACATGTTGGTCTTGGAATTATGAGATATATTAGAAGTTTAAGATGATTTAGCTTTGTCAAGATGAATGACAATTTTGGTTAATGCCGATCTAGTATATTGATGTTTTTATTTTAGCTATTAAATAAGTTGGGACAAATCAGTAGGTCTTAATATTGCAGACCTGGAATTTTACTGTGCAAATAATTTGGCTGTTTTCTGCAGAATAACTTATTGTAACATATCAAAAGATATTACTGGTATATCAAAAAAATATTCTAGTTATATAGTTGGATTGCATGAGTTTGGATACTTAGGCAAATTAACTCAGAATTTATACTCCATTTCCCCTGAAAGAGGCTCATAAATGTTTTGGGGACATATATTGAGATGATAATTATTTAATCTGACATTTAAATCTAATAAAACTAATCATAATGCACATATATGTGCAAAATGGAAACATCTAAGTAATTTGTGAGATTTTTAAAAACAATTTCTAATGGAAGATTTATCCCCATCTCATAAAGCTATAAATATTTCATACTCTGTGGATGTTTTAGTTGTATCAGCTGTCCTCAGGAACAATAACAAAGCATGATTTCCACTATTGATAATGATCTGATTTATACAGAGAACCCATTAACTTGATTCTCTCATCACGACTTTTTTCTAGTTCTTAAGGAAGAGTAAAGTGGCAAAGAAACCAGATCCAAATAGATTCAAGCCAGGATCATTTCTGGATTCTTCAGGAACACCATGTTCTTTCTCCTTTTGAAGTATGGATTGTGTCAGCATTATTCTCAGATATTTTTGTTAAATTCAATTTTCAACAACCTCTCACAAAGCAGGAGTCTTTTTACTGTAACTTTCTTCCCCCACCTTTGCCTCAGACTGAAACCCCATTGTGAATGCCCTGACTCCCAAGTCCAGTCTTCCCATAAATAGTTGATTAATCCCCAGCTGAAGCAATGACAGTGAAATGAAGTTGAGTAACTTGAAGACAATAGGATGCAATTGAACATTAATGATCTCCAGCATGACAGATGTTGAACACAGACTTTTACACGGAGCCACTCAGCTCTGTTACTCTGAGTCCTAATAGTCTTGGTCAGGAATGGTAGTCCTGTGACAGGAAAGACTATGTTATTTCATCATCAAAATGTCAAATATACTTTTTGAATTTTTATGGAAATCTGCCCTATTAATCCTATTCTTTCTCATGTTCACTTATCTCATCCCTTTCCCCAAAGGAGCCTTCTCTGTGATACTCTTTGGAATGTTCCCTCACAAAACATACTGTGCACTTGTTCGGGGCACTACTGATCAAAGTGCTAATAAGATGCATGATTTTGCAGGCCATATATTCATCTTTGGAGAGATTATAGCCTGTGCACCAAGAGAAGAAAAGCACAACTTAAAGAGAAAAAGGAGGGGCGCCTGGGTGGCTTAGTTGGTTGGGCGACAGCCTTTGGCTCAGGTCATGATCCCAGGGTCCTGGGATCGGGCCCCGCCCGCATTGGGCTCCCTGCTCAGTGAGTCTGCTTCTCCCTTTGCCTCTCTCCCCTGCTTGTGCTCTCCTGCTCTCTCTCTGTCAAATAAATAAATAAAATCTTAAAAAAAGAGAACAAGAAAAAGGAAAAATAGCAGTATGCATACAGCACATAAGAACATAAACTAGTGGATATCTATGACATGGAAATTGATCCAGGATAGAGAATATTGCTATAATAAAGGGCCTTAGGAGTATATAGTGTGTACAGTAAGACATTTCCCAAATGCATTCTGGAGGACAATTTATTAGTACTATGAAGAGGCTATTGGGGAAAAGGATTTCATTGTCAAGTAAGTTTGGGAAGCATATTTACTGTCTCCTGCTTGGATAGACACAAAGCAAAATTGGTATAGTAAAGTTTCTGAGAAGTTCTAAGGTAAAGAAACCTACTGACTCTAGCATTTCCTAGACCTTTTTGAATACAGAATGCTTTTTTCCTAGAGAAGCCTGTTCACAGAGTTCCTTGGAATACACTTTTTCAAACCTGCTCTAGTACCTCCCATTTATTTTATAGAGGAGAAGGTGAGATATATAAACTAAACACTATACTCAGAGGTATTGAGCTACTTAATGACTATATTAAAATTTCCTGTGTCCTTTGATTTTAGAGATTTTGAAATTATAAAAGCACTTAATACAAGCCACTCAGTTTACAGTGGGGCAACAGATCCACCAGTGACTTCCCAAAGTCAGACAAGTCACTAGTAAAGGTTTCAGGAATAAAATTAGAAATTTTGTGCTTAAAGGACAGTGTTATTTATTTTATAACCCTGATGTCTAGCACAGTGCCTAGACAATGAAGGGTAATACATGACACGAACTGAATGGCTAGAAAAATAAATTAGGTAAATGAGAGATAGATGCTACAGAATGAGTGCATTCCTAGTGAATAACCCATGTAAATGATTTGCATTCCCTCACCTTGTAAAGAACACACACATTAGCTCCACATTTTGAATGCAAAATTAATTCTTTCTTACCAAAAAATATAGCCATTTGAGCCAGGAGAACATGCATGTCAGAAACTCCCACAATGTTTCTGTACTGAGGGTATGATCCTACCAGGTGAACTGGTAGTTACTGTATATCTCAGGGTTGGCCAGAAATCAAAACTGGCAGATAGAGATGGGGGAGAGGGAGAAGTAGAAGGAGCTTACACCTGTAGGAGTAGAAAAATAGGAGCAATATTATTTTAGAGGAAAGATGACAAGGATGCAGGAGTTCCTGTCCCAGGCCCCAGAAGTGATCACTTATCTACAGAAAGTATGGGCTCACCACAGTGCCCCAGGTGATTCTCCAGCCCCCATCACTTCACACACTGCTTGAGAATTCTGGCTTGACAGTCTGATTTAGTTTCTCATCACCATGAGCCAGACTGATTTGCATGGTTTGGACTCTGCATTTACTCTTCTCCATAGTGGATCTTAGCCTTCTCTTAGCATCTGGGTTAAGCACCATCTTTGGAGTCAGTTTTGAGTCCTGTATCTCCTGTCAGCTAGCTTTGTGCTCTTGCACAAATCACTTCTATTTTTCTATCTGCAAAGTGGAATCATAATACCTACCTCACAGGGCAGTAGAGAGCATTAAATGAGACTATAGCTGTAAAGGACCCTGCCTGGTCCCTAAGGAAGTCACTCTTTAAATGACAGCTAATACTACATGTTGTGAGTAGTTTTTACAAATGATAATGAAAATGAACTTAATGAAACATTGTTTGAATCTTTTATACATAAAGCTACAGTTAGTCATGATGAGAATCCCAGCTGTGCAACCTTAGGCAAGTTACTTAACTTCTCTATACCTCTTAACTTAATCTGTTAAAAAGAGGGTTAATGGGGCACCTGGGTGGCTCAGTTGTTAAGCGTCTGCCTTCGGCTCAGGTCATGATCCCAGGGTCCTGGGATCGAGACCCGCATCAGGCTCCCTGCTCCGTGGGAAGCCTGCTTTCCCCCTCCCACTCCCCCTGCTCGTGTTTCCTCTCTCACTGTCTCTCTCTGTCAAATAAATAAATAAAATGTTAAAAAAAAAAAAAGAGGGTTAATAATAGAACCAATCTTATTGATTTGGTATGAGATTAGATAGTTACTCTTTGTAAGCACTTAGCTCTGTGTTTGGCATACAATTAAATGCAGTATAGGTGCTTGTTTGGGTAAGTAAAATGACCTGTGGCAGTTGTTCAAGATGTAGATTAGCTACCCCTCCTTTCTGCTCATTTTTGCTTTATTTTCCTGCTCTTCCATACAGGGAGCAGTAACAGAGAGAAGAGTAAATGAAGAGGAGTTCCCTTTCCCTTTTGCTGCTCAGGGCCTTACTGGGTAATAAATTTAGGGATTGCATTATAGTTTGAGGTTCAGTTTTATAGTTATAAACACATATTTTAAAGCGTTAATTTTCAGGGGATGCTCTGTTTTTCCAGTGACTGGAATATTTGCATTCACCATCCAGGGCCTTCCCTTCCTGGTACTGAGGTTTTTGAGAAGACAAATCAGTTACGGTTTCTTTTCATGAGTTTAGAAGCAGAACAAAGAGAATCAATCTGAGGGATGTGCTGCACTGTTCTATGGTAAATTTGGACCAGAAACTGTTTTTCAGAATGCCTTTCCCTGTGTCATTCTGGATTTGAGGTGGGCAAAAGGAAGTTATCTGCTTCTTTGGGAAGCAGAAGTGAAGCCAC